ATTCACCATCATTATTATTTGAAGCTAGAGGTTTTTAGCTTTAAATCTTGTAAATTTCTTTGTGTTTGTACGGAATATTACAAGATGTGTGAAAGCATATTTGTACAAGGTCTTACATTGACTACAACTAACTGAATTAACTTTCTGAAAGCAATAGAAAGTGAAAACTCATATACAACATAGTTCAACCGTACAGTAAATTTTGAATGATATGCGATCCAAATATGAATAATGAAAAGTGTAGATTAATAATGTTAAGGTGAAAAATTGAACCCCTACTCTTGTAGATTAATCTTTATAGGCTGAAAAGCTTAATGATAAATCTTAACAGTAATTCATGAAGATACAGAAATGTTTTTTATTTTATAGTCAAACATTTTACTAGTTTCCGTTTGTTTTATTTAACTAATTTGTATAGTCATTTTCAAATGATATTTTTCAATTAAATTGCTATTCATCATCAAAGCATAAAAAGCAATATCAAATGAGTCTGTTCTAGATGCATAAAAATGTCAAATAGAGACTAGTCACTTGTAATCCCTAATATTAACAACAATAACATACAAAATTCTTATAAGAAACTTATGCATTCTTCATTCGTTTGATTTTCCTCGAGTAATGAAGAGATTCCATTGGTGTCTTTTTAAGACCATTTTTATGTAATGATATATTATATACTGAAAACACCTACTTTTATTATGTAAATAATTATAAATACAGAAATTACGAAGTTTATTTCAGGACATAAGGTTTGATCCATCATGTCAAAAGTTGGATAAACAAAACTGACAGTGTCAGTGATTATTCATCAAAATGGTTATGATAGACTTTTTCATATATTATAAAGACTATAAGTGAATATATAAAGCATTAAGAAGCAAGTATCTTCAACAAATAAAACCACTCAAAAAATCCATAGTCTATGTCAAAACAAGAGGATATTTCTTATTTCTAGTGTGATAAAATATCACAAAGTTCGAATTACATTTATAAAGTATGGTTGCCTACGGTTATGCGACACAGATCTTTGGATAGTAATCAATGTTGAATTTTATTCAATTTCTAGTGACAATTGCAGTCTATTGACTAATAGGTAATTTGGATATGAATCTATGAAAAAATAGCGATTTTTTTCTGAGTTGTAAGTTCGCTTTTTATGATCAATGCCAACAGGACACAGAAGCTGAACCCAAGCATATCTATGGGTTACGTTTAGTCGTTTAATATCATACATATGCAGTTATAAGTAACAAATATAAAACATCATTTTGTGAGAAAATATCTTATTTCAAAATAGTTTTATACTTGATTGTACTTGTTATCGTTTACTGTGAAAGGAATTTCCCTTTATCAACTATGTAGTTATTACTATAGATGAGGTATAAATGTAAACTTAATAGTGTTCTATCAGCTGTATATTGTTGTAACCAGTGTTATATGATGACTATGATTTTGTTCATACTGTGGTGTGTACTGCTTATATTGACATAAGTAGTAGATGATGTTAGTCGTGCTCTGAAGGTCTGGCAGCAGAGAAACAAGAGGATAAAACAGTAAAGAATGGAAACAGAATGCAATTTGTATGAAAATGCAAGAACAATGAAGTCTGAGTCATTTTGAGGCAATTGGTGGACATTTTGCAAATTAGGCATTTACTTTATGATTGTTAGATTTTATTAACACGTCCTGTAATTGTGTGTTAAATACATTCGATTGTACCCACTGGTGTTCTTGTTCACTACAATACTATGTAATTTAGACATGAAAAATCGCTGTGAAGTTTTATTTACTTCGTATTAAATATATGAACATTTTTTGTGTAGTTAAAATTTAAACATATTAAGGAAACAATCCGTTCAAGTTGGCGAATCCAACGGAAATAAATTTCATCACTCATGACAACCCGATGATTAAACAAATCTTATCAAAAAAAAAGAAAAATACTAATATAACATTTACCAACTTGTATTGTTTAGTGTTGAAAAATTATCTAAGTGCTTGTGACGAGACAAATTATGGTGTAAATCCTTAATAGGTTTTACCTTAAAAAAAACTGAATATTGTAAGTTAACACTAAATAAATGTTATAGCCTCTTGATCATGACTATATTGTGATAATTTCCTGGATATGGTAAAATCACTAGGGGAATAAAGTTGATAAACAAGAAAGATTTGTGTAAATTTGTTTAACCCTTAAGTAAGATTAGCAATTTGCACCGATTTATATGAATAGACCAAAGTTAATATACACCTTTACTTTTTCTACAATTGTATGAAACAATATACACTTATTAACTGAGATTTATGAATCGGAAATTTAAACGATATAAATAAAAAATAACTGGCAATACTAGTTATTGAATGACACTTCACATAGATTAAAATCTGTAGGAATCTAAAAAGAATTCCTTAAAGTTAAGCTGTGTTAATCTATCCTAGTATCGGTATGTACTATTTTAAAATTCTGACTTACCATAGCGGTACATTATATTCAAGGATGATAGTGTTATAATTATGGGTTATTACTATCAGTATGGGGATCTGCTGAAACATTTGTTTTACTTATATTCCATTAGGCATTTTATCAATAAAATATTACAAATTAAATAATATGTGATTGTATTAATTAAAATTTACACCAAGTAGTATTGAAGGGTTCTGTTTGTAGTCAATATGTGTTTTGAAAAAGTGAATAGAAACGTATAAATAATGCTACTCTGAATACTACACATACTTAGTAGGAAATTAAATTTACATGTGGATTAAATATGTGAATATTAACAATGAAAAAGTTTTGGATTAAGTTTTCTTTTCTTTCATTCTTTATATAAATACATACTTGATTACATTACATGCATTGTAAAAACAATTAGGGATTTCTCAATATGAACTTGATTAGTTCTAGATTAAGATTAACAAGTTAAGTAAGAAGAGATAAACTGTAAATAGAAAAAGTAATTGGGCAAAAGTGTGAATGATTTTGTGATGAAAATGAAATTGATAAATTTTACTCAATCCAAAGATATGATATACTTGTGTTTTTCTCTCCTTCTAACATATCCGAATAAAACGTTATGTAGAAATGACAAAATTCAGCAAGAGATTTATTGGTTTGGTTATGATTAACTTTCATAATGAGGATCAGTGAAGAATTATGTGATACACACTTGAAAATAGTGATATATATATAAACGGCGGCATAACTATTTGGTAATATTTTTATGAATGAACACTTTAGGCATTGTATAAAACATCCCTCATGACTAAATACGAGATTTAGTAGGATGTTTAATTATTATCTTCCTTATTTTAAATCTCATTGTTATAACATCACAAAAATTGATTTAAAATAAGTTTTTCCCAAAATAATGTCTTTCATAACGAAATGAAGCAGGCTGGAAGTCCATTAAAAACAGAAAAAAATGAGCGGCTTTTTTGTCCTAGTAAGAAACTCATTAGCAGCAGATGGGCAAGAGCCCATTTGTGAATTAAACGAAGACCTTCAGATTTGATATAGAGTGTGGTATTTACAGATTATTAAGTCAGAGTACTAACGGTATAGGCCTTTAAATTCACGATGCTACTTTTACTTCTCGTAATTTGTGATCAAAAATTGACAGGATATTTAGTTTTCATACGTTCAAATACATCTAGGGTTTTATTAAAATTCTGTTTTACAGACAATACATTGTTGTCAGTTTTCGAAAAATAAAAGGTTTTATAATTTCAAATGTTTTTTTTGCACCATTTATAAAAGAAGAGGAGAAACGAAAAGCACCCGCATCGATCAGTTTTCTTGAATCACGTGTACAGAATGAAAGAACAAATTTGCATAGAAAAAGCTCTAGATTACGTGTATTGTCTTGCAATCTGTACCAGGGATGAAATTTATACTGTAAAAGTTGAACTACTATAACAAAATAGTTAACAAACAGATTTTTGAATATTATAAAAATCGAAAAGTTTGAATAGTTAATACCCTAAAAAAATTAACAAGCTAATGTCAAAATAATATTTATCATTGCTACTACAGATAGTCGATAGACGACAATATGCAAGAATAATGGCGCTCGATAATCACCAGTCGTAGAAAAAGTTGTTTAAGTCTAAACACTGATAGAAACTTCTTACAGAATGTTCTGTTGTTGAAGACCTTATAGTATGTGGATAGACATGCATATGACTGTATTATATTTATCTATCCACATCTAGTTAAAATGTTAACTACTGTAGACCACTGGCTTAATAAATGAAATGAAACTTAGATATTATTTAAGCTTAGTAACTTAGTCAATAAAGTACAGGGTTCGTTACTGTTGTATAAATTGTTTCAAGCCCTTAAATGCTTTAAATATACTTCTATTATAATTCCCTTACTTTTATATTTAAAAATATTTTAAAATGATTATGACTTATTAGGACACAATGAGAAGTATGCTCTGATAAATTGTAATATCATTAGTAAACAACTGAAGGGTTATACAATTACAGATTGAGTTCATCCAATGAGTTACTCAAAAAATCACAATGTACTACAACGATAATCCTCGGAAGCGTGAGAGACTGGGTTTTAAATAATTGGTTCACAAGTAAAGTGCTCAAACTATCATAGAGCTTTTATGTTTTGATACAGTGTGTTCAATTGTCAGAGTTCACTCATGAGACGATCCAAACTAGGCCAAAACAACTGTTTCATGTGCTTTTTTCGGTGGTTTTCTAGATGACATAAATTTACAGTGAAAACAGCATTTTGAGGTCGAAGAATAATATCCATCAGTTTACTCTATTGTTAAACCCTTAGTAAGCAGACAATTATGAAAACATTTTAGTTTTAAAGTACATTTAGCTAGCCATTATCATAATATACATAAAAATATATTTGGTTTGATTTCAAAACAGGCTACAAGTTTGCATAATTGAGAAATCAACAGAAAGTTTCAACACTGTGATATATATATATATATATATATATATATATATATATATATTCAAAAACTTACTTTTCTTCAGATAAATTTGTGTTTTCTTTCCTAAGTGTTGATAAATAAGTTTCCCAAGGTGTACTACACGTTTCCTATCACAAATAAATAGACAAAATCAGTGACATTGATTACAAATGATAATATTAATGAGATTTGTATGTTATTTTAAAAATAAGAGTCAAATATGTTTAGAACGAAACTGTGTTATATAAAAGCAACAAATGACTGATATTTAATTAGATTATCATATCAGGATATTAATAAATTGTACACACAACTTAAAACTGAGCTTCAACAAATATAAAATTTTTCGGTTTAAAATATTTGAAATGGAACACAGTTCATGGAGATGCAAAATGAAAAACAAAACAGTTATGTTAACTCATTTATCACGTACCAAGATCTTTAATCAACTGCGCGTGATATTTTAGTTGTGCAGGATCAGTAAAATTCCCTTCTTTTGTCCACACTAAAGTAGGTGGAGTGGGGTTCAAAGCTGGAACCCAGCAGTGGAAAAGTAAGTGCTATATCTCCTTGATCATAGTAAGTGATATTCTGTTTTAGAACAAGTGATCCTTTTATTTTACTGATTTTATGCTGGATAAATTTTTCGATATCAAGCGACATATTATTGGAGATAGATCAGTGATTAGGTGGAATAAAATAGTTGTGTTCAAGTATTTTCTTGTTGGTAAGCATTAGAACCTAGATTATGTATGATTAAACATTTCTTATGGTCAAATCTAGTAGATCGAAACCTTGCTAATTCGACTTGCTAGTGTTTCGAAGTTCATATAAATCCATGGCCCTTCAATAATGTGCCAAACTAAATATGGAAATAATAAGACAGTAAGTTTACACACATGATTAATTCAGTTACAAGAGTTCAGAGATACTCTTATGGTTTTCTTTGCTTCTGCTATTCCACAAAAGATTTTAAAGCCGGTGATAATTTAAGACTTGGTTAATTAGATTGGAAAAGAAGTGAAATACATGGGGTTGCTGAACAGTTGCCAAAAGCAACGATTTGTTTCAAGTGATTATATTTTTATCTAGTTTTTTAGGATTATGTAAGCGTGTTTATCATGGTAATCGAAAATTATCTGAGCAATTCATCTTCATTTGATGTTGTTCTTCTGTTTTTAAAGGGTGAACCAAAGCATTATTGGTACAACATTTAACACAAATTAATTTTTGAAACCAAAGGACAGAGTAAAGGTATATGAATTGAGAACACTCAAAAAACAAACTTTTGCAAATGATGTTGATTGTTTATTGAATTGGATTAAGTATGAAGACCTAATTTATAGGAACAATAAAATATATTTGAGCAAATAATTCCAATCAATGTGATGCCAAACACATGCTTATTTGTTTTTGGTACTTATATAGAAAACATAATGTAAGTAGTAGTGAAATTGAAAAAGAGATCAAGTGTGAACAACAAATTTACTGATGAGCATAATAACAAAAAGCTAATTTTATTGAGATCATGAACTGATCTAAGTTGGACAAACAATGAAAGCCTGGAAACCCTGGTTGGCGGATTCATTCATGCACATTGCTGAAGAGCCCCATACTAGCGTGAAACAACTGCCTAGTGCTTCTAGGCTATTAGTGGTTGTTTAGCCTGGATTGGTTCGTAATACGAAAACATTTAGCACTTTCCATAACCCCATACCGATAAAAATTTAATTATAAAGACGCTTCTAGTACATAAAATTTGCTATTAAAAGTGAAACAAGGAAAACAGAAACTATATTAATTTGTTATAACTAGATAGAAACTCATAACAGTTTTGTATTTGTTACAAGTGAGCTTACAGAATGAAAGAAAATGTAAAGTATGTTTATTCGTTAAGTAAATCAAAGATAACGTCATATCTCAACGTGATTACATCTTTTCATGATGACATAAACCGGAGAAATCTAATGATTTTAGCCATTTGGTAAATAGAGAAGGAATAAATTGAGCGAAGAAATTTCTTTACAACTAGTTTTTCATCATGGCTCTACACTAATATATATAACACTTGTCGAGTGGATACGTTACGTAATAATTACATAATGACATTTAAATTAACATTGAGTAATTGGAAGAAAGAGGATTATTAATATTCAAAGTAATTATTGAATCAAGAAGTTGCTACGTTGCGTAATATAAGAAACAGAGAAGGAACAAAATTTTAACGGATGGTCAATAGAATAGTAGTTACGTAAAATCAAGAGATGAATGTTGATAAGTTATAAAGTTCAAAAGCAACAGAAACAAAATTAAAAAAATTAAAAAAAGGAAAAAAAAGAAGTGGAAGAACTATAAAAAATAGTTCTTATGATGGAAATCTTATACTGAAGGCCAGGGCAGAGAAAGTAGTTGTACGAATTTCTTTTGGATGTAAAGGTCAGGTTTGTAAACATGGATTGCGATGGCTTCCGCAATGTGCGAAAGGCGCACTCGTAAACCATGCGGTAGATTTGATGGAATATTGTAGATAACCTTAAAAGCTTTATTCAATTCGACTTGATGACCTGTGTCAACCAAGTGAGAGAATAGAACTTTTAATCACTTTCACCTGTCCTTTGCATAGCCATGTCGGATGATGTTCTGAAATGTGGTGACGGACCTGCCGAATTGTACGCCCTATGTAACTGGCTCCACAGGAGCAGTTGAAACGATAGATACACATAGATTTGGCGAATTCTGGCAGTCTGTCTTTAATGGATGTTCTTATTTTCAGGTGATTGTAGAAAATGACATTTAATTTGGCAGCATTAAATGTTTTCTGTATAGCTCGTCGTAGTTTCTGAGTCATAACTTCTTCAATAAGAACAGTTCTAAACATCAATGTAAAGATTGAAACAAACATTACATATAAAAAGAGGCTTCGAAGGATTACAACAGAACTGATGAGAAATTATGTAGAACTGTATAACCCAGTGAAGGTATATAATCAAGAATGTTGAACATTTAGAGATGAGAAATAATTAATCATTAATTTGAACTTCACATAGTCGTTCATGTTACTTACTTACTTACTTACGCCTGTTACTCCTCGTGAAGGAGCATAGGCCGCTCACCAGCATTCGCCATCCAACCCTGTCCTGGGTAATACTTTCTAGCTCCTTCCAGTTGTTATTCATCCTTTGGATATCTGTTCTTAGGCCTTCCTCTTTTCCGTTTCCCTTCAGGATTCCAAGTTAGGGCTTGTCTCGTGATTCAGTTTGATGATTTGCGTAATGTATGTCCTATCCATTTCCATCGTCTTTTCCTAATTTCTTCTTCAGCTGGAGGCTGATTTGTTCTCTCCTACAAAAGGCTGTTGCTGATGGTATCCGGCCAATGGATGTTGAGTATTTTGCGAAGACAGCTATTTATAAATACTTGTACCTTCTTGATGGTGGTTGTTGTAGTTCTTCAAGTTTCAGCTCCATACAGTAGAACTGCCTTGACGTTGGTATTGAAGATTCTCACTTTGATATTGGTTGAAAGTTGTTTTGAGTTCCATATGTTCTTCAATTGTAGAAATGCGACCCTTGCTTTGCCAATCCTTGCCTTTACGTCTGCATCTGAACCTCCTTGTTCATCGATTATGCTTCCCAGGTATGTGAAGGATTCTACATCTTCCAGAGTTTCGCCATCAAGAGTGATTGGGTTGCTGTTCTTTGTTTTGAATTTGAGGACTTTGGTTTTCCCTTTGTGTATGCTGAGGCCTACTGATGCAGAGACTGCTGCCACACTGGCTGTCTTTGTCTGCATCTGTTCGTGTATACGCAATAGGAGGGCTAGGTCATCTGCGAAGTCCAAATCGTCTAATTGATTTTGAGTTGTCCATTGTATTTCGTGTTTTCCTTCAGATGTTGAGGTCTTCATAATCCAGTCGACACCAGAAGAAAAAGGAAGGGAAAGAGTAATCAGCCTTGTCTGACTCCGGTCCTTACTTGGAATGCATCTGTCAGCTGTCCTCCATGCACGACTTTGCACTATAGTCCGTCGTATGAGTTCCGGATAATATTGAAAATCTTCTCAGGAACTCCGTAGTGTTGAAGAAGTTTCCATAACCTATCCACACTGTCAAATGCCTTTTCATAATCAATCAAGTTGATGTACAGTGACGAGTCCCACTCAACTGATTGTTCGACGATGATCCGTAGTGTTGCAATTTGGTCTGTGCACGATCGATCCCTACGGAATCCGGCTTGTTGATCTCGAAGTTGGGCGTCTAATGCATCTTTCATCCGGTTCAGCAACACTCTGTTGAAGACCTTTCCTGGTATTGACAGCAGTGTAATGCCTCTGTAGTTTTCACATTTGCTCAGATCCCATTTCTTTGGAATCTTGAAGAGGTGCCCTTCTTTCCAGTCCATCGGCACCTGTTCCTCCTCCCAAATCTTTTTGAATAGAAAATGAAGCATGCTTGTAGTTACTCCGATATCTGACTTCAGTGCTTCAGCTGGTATGTTGTCCGGTCCCACTGCTTTCCCGTTCTTAATTTGTCTGACGGCCATTCTGATTTCTTTCGTCGTTGGTGGATTGACATCTATAGGAAGATCTGTGTGCGCTGCTTCGATGTCCGGTGGATTCATTGGAGCCGGCCTCTTCAGGAGTTTCTCGATGTATTCTACCCATCTGTTCCGCTGTTGTTGAATTTCAGTGATTGGCTTGCCTTCTTTGTCTTTGACTGGTCTCTCTGGTTTACTGTATTTCCCTGATAGTTTCTTCGTTGTATCGTAAAGCTGTTTCATATTTCCTTCTCTAGCAGCTTTTTCAGCCGTGGTTGCTAGTTCTTCCACGTACTTCTTCTTGTCGGTTCTAATGCTCCTCTTCACTTGCTTGTTTACTTCTGTGTATTCAGCTTGTGCTTGGACTTTCTCTGCTCGTGTTCGGCTGTTGTTAATTGCTGTCTTCTTGTTCTTCCTTTCTTTGATCTTGTCCAGTGTTTCTATAGAGATCCATTCCTTATGACGATGCTTCTTTAGACCCAGAACCTCTTGACACGTTGGAGTTAATGCTTCTTTGATACCTTTCCAGTTGTCTTCCACAGTAGTTTCTTCCTTCAGTAGATCTTGTAAGGCCTGGAACCTGTTGTTGAGAGCTATCTTGAATTCATTGAGTCTGTCAGTATCTCAAAGGAAGGCTGTATTGAACCTTTGTAGTGCTGTTTGTCCAGTTGTTCAGTTCTTCTTTAGCCTCAGTTTTAAATTGGCCACAACTACGTGGTGATCTGAAGCTATGTCAGCTTCTATCCTGGTTCCCACATCTTCCATTGTCCTTCGGAGTTTTTTATTGATGCAAATATAATCTATCTGGTTCCCTGTGGTGTGGTCCAGAGAGATCCATGTAGCTTTGTGTATACGTTTGTGTGGAAATATTGTGCCCCCTATGACCAATTTGTTGAATGCATACAGATTTGCAAATCTTTCCCCATTTCCGTTTCTCTTTCCCAGTCCATGTCGTCCCATGATATCTTCATATTCAGTGTTGTCTATTCCGACTTTGGCATTTAGATCTCCCAACAGAATGGTGAAGTCCTTTCTTGGGCACTTCTCTATGAGTGACTACAGCCGCTCGTAGAATTGATCTTTAATGTCGTCGTTGCTATCATTGGTGGGTGCATAACATTGGATAATATTCATTGTGATCCCCTCCATTGTTTTGAATGATGCTCTGATGATTCTGGATCCATGAGATTCCCATTCTACAAGTGCATTTCGTGCTACTTTGGACAGCATTAGAGCAATTCCCTGAGTGTGTGGAGCGTTTTCCTCTTCGTGTCCGGAGTATAGCAGCATTTCTCCCTTAGCTAGCCTTTTCTGTCCAGCTTGGGTCCAGTGGGTTTCGCTGATTCCCAGTACTGCTAAGTTGTATCTCCTCATTTCCATTGCTATTTGACTTGTCTTCCCGGTCTCCCACATCGTTCGGACGTTCCATGTACCTACAAAAATTTTTGCTCTGGTTGTTAGAAGGGGCATCGGCCTCCTGGCTTCCGAAGGAACTCGGCTTTCACCATGAAGCATCATAATTCTTCTAAATGAAGACCTTCTAACTCCCAGGGCAGAGTTAAAATGGTTTGAATTATTTTTTCTGGTAAGCGTTTTTTTAGCGAGTTAGTTTTCTACGGGATGGGGATGCTAACCCCATGCCCAACCCTCCTCCTTTACCCGGGCTTGGGACCGGCAGTAACTCTAGAAGAGCTACAGGAGGAGTTGTCGTTCATGTATATCTGTTTTTATTGTATTAGTCTTCCGTGATAGATAATGACTATTATATTTGATTATTTCACTTGATTTCGTTCTATATTTTCACTTCGGCTTTATCAAAATTTGTATAAAAAATATTCAGACTGATTACATTATCTATTTATCCATCAGTAATTTGTCACTGGTATTATGCATAGGGAGATTAAAACCATTAACGCTACAGCAAAAATGAACTAAACACAATAAATATGTGTATGTGTTTCTATGTACAAATTCAAGTATACACATGCATGTAAACTAATGACATGGCAATTATGTTATGAAATGATAAATAATATTCCAGAAAAATGTGATGCATTTAATTATGAACTCAAATAAATTCTTAAGTAACAAGAGGACAAACTCCAATAAAATTACACTTTATACTTATATGTTTTACAAAGTGAACTGTAGACATTGAAAGATAATATTTATATCAATCTGCAGTTAATTGAAGGAACACTGGATATTTGTTTCACTATAGTTCAAAACTAATCAACAATGAATATTAACGATCTCCAATGCAAGAACTACACATTTATTTTATATACACATATTAAATATAGTTAATAATTTAATCAAACTTATTGGTACAATTATTATTTTGCTATTCGCATGAGTTATTTATTTAACCAAATGATAATTTATTCGACGTTGATAACATCCAGATAAACAAAATGATAATTAAGACTTCCCGAATAATGATATTATTATTATTACTGTACATCAAAATAATCAATGTCTATTCTTATCAGAATGGTCGATCAGTTGTTTTATTTATATGTGTAGAAATAAGGAGAGCATTATGGATAAAAGTATTTAGACTGAACAAATATACCAAATCAGTTAATACATATCTCTGTCTACAGCCAATCTGGTATATATATATATATATATATATATATATATAAACGTCAATCAAATGCCGTTGGATTAATAATTAGTCAGTTTAGTAAGTAGAATGTGAAATTTTTTTTAACTGATCACATGTTGTAAACAATAATCTTTTGAGACGTTGTTCACGTATGAACTAGAATGTACTCGAATCATATATCGTTACATTATTTATTACGATAAAAATAGACATTCTATCCTTTTATTTATTTGGAAAATTTTAGATATTCCAAGTTAATTTTCTATAGTATAGTCAAATATTAAGTTTACAACAAATTGAATTGTAATTGAATTGCCTCATCCAGTTTGATATGAGTTGCATAAGAAATGAAAGAAAGTAATCTGTTTCCATAAAACTGATTATGGAACTGATTTTAGCCAGTAATTATTATATATTTTATATTTAAATACTAAACCAAGCAGATGACGTGAAAAAAGAAAAATCTGCTCTTCATATGTTTTTTACGTAAAAAGAACAAACACAAGAAAGCAATCCTATTTCTTACCATATATTAACAACCTGAGACGTTTTGAAATCCACAAAGGTTATATCAATATAATAAAAAGGGTATATATGAATGAAACTCACACCTTAATTTTAATAATGCAAAAAACTGTCGAAGTTTTCCTCCGTTATGAGGTTGAAATGAATATCTAATTCTACGAATTATGGAACTTAGTACAAACAAATTGCATAAAGATATATTACCCATGGGCATAATGGGAAAAAGAGGAATGTAATCATGTCAGATAACTTTTATAATATTTCCAAAAGCTATGCAGTTTGTTATCGATCTCCAAAACAGAACAAAACAATTTGTTAAAATATACGACTCCCGGTGTGAGCAAAACAAAATTCATAGCAGGGAGTATGGATTTAAGGTGCATAAAGGAATTATATTACGATATTTAGGGATTTAAACTATAGAGTTCAGAAAATGAAATTTAGGATATTCTTAGTACATTTGTTGTAAAAAAAACGTTCCAGGGAAAGCAATCTAAGATGTAAAACACAATATTGAATTAAAATATGTAATTAGTTTGGCAGATAGTTGAGTATACACAACAAGATATTGTATTGGTTAGTACAGTTACTAGTCGCAGAGCGACTACTCCGTTCCATCGAGTGACTTCGCATCAGCGCGAATCCACGATCCCACTACGAATAAAACTACCGTCATTCATGCATTGAGGAGAGAACTCGACCTTTCAATTATTAAATTGATATTTAATGGTTTACTTTTCTAATTTCAGTCAATTTGATCCATAATAGGATAAAATAATTAACTAGTGCTATCTAATTTCAAATGGTTGTTGAAAGAAAGTCAGAACACAATATAAAAAACTACAAAACTTAACAACCTTCAAAATCCCCTATACTGAAAAATGTATACATATTTATCATGATGAAAAAAGATGAATAAATGAGTCATCAGACAGACTCGAAAGTATGGAGTATGAGCATCATTCAATTACTTTCCACTTAATATTTTTATACTTAGATTCTAACAAACAAACCTTTTTTGCCAAATACCATAGTAAACAAATGAAATGCTGTATTCACACATATACATCATTCAGTTGTATAAACGTTATAAAAAGAAATCAAAAATACCTGAAATGCGGGTATTATTTGCAAAATTTAACTAACTTATAGATAATACTATTAAACTAAAACGTTGAAAACATTTTTAAAAACTAACCTCAATTTTCCTTAATACTGAAGAATAATTATACTGAACAGGTGGGATCATTTTTAATGTTTCTAAAGTATAATAAAATTCACTAAGGCCATAAAATTCCATTGAATTGAAGTCTGGATCCAATTGAACAACATTATTAATTGCACATGGTAGTGGAGAACAACTTTGATTTAAATTAAGTAAAGGTTCTACATTTTGCATACATTTATCCATATTACCCGTACCCTAGAAATTAAATAAATTGATAAATATTTTTAAAAAAAGTTAGTTTGGATAAAAATTTCTGGGATAAGAACAATGCTTAACCTCTCACCAAAGATATGACCATATATTCATTGATGACTTGGTTTCATAAAACTTACCGAAATTTACCAAAGAGTTATGACTGGTTGAGTCCACTTACGTTACGAATACAGACGTCATTTACCAGTGATATTGGATGGTTAGTGAGCCAAATTACAAATTGACTGAATTTGGAAATATGGATCACTAGATTTCAACTCATCAACAGTAACAAGTTTTAAATGAGCGATAACTTAATTTCATTATGTTTTAATTATTGTATATATGAATATGGACTAATTCAATGTGTAACATTAAATTATTAAATGTTTTAAATAAATACGAAGGATTGTGAATTTCGTAAAAAAATATTCCCAATATGCAAGGAAATAAGATACTAAATAGAATCTGGATTCTATTTTGAATTTACGACCTGTAAATTCAAATATTTTCTATGAATGATATCAATACTAGAACAAAGAAATTGTGCTATCTATCAAGGAAATCTTCAGGCCTTTCGTTAGAGACCACCTGGGAAAACTAAATGTGGTTCAAAAATGCCATTTTTTTATTATTTAAGAGAAATGAAAATAAGCTACATATATACATACTTAGAAAATCTACGTGAAACGTGTAACCTACAAATTTTCGTGGTTGGGTTTCAATAACGTGGGTTTTCCATAGAGGCCACCTATTTCTCATTACACTAAAGAATGTTGCTAAGCATGATTCAACAAACAATAGGACAGATTAACTGAATTCTTTATTCTGAAAAATGTTGTATATTCCAGTTATTCAGCTTCAGATTCATTGTATGATAATATTTATAGGGTCTAGTCTAATATCCCAAGAGTTACATCCTGAAAATATTTTTCAATACAGAGGTTTTAGTCATTCATAAAGTTAAACCAGAGTTCTGTGTACAAAGTTAGTTATTTTGTTCTCTTTTTTGGTATAATTAAAGCACATGGAGTCTTTTTGTGAAAACAAAATTCACTTGCATAATAAAAAATAACGTCAATCATAGATATTTAAATGAAACTACATGACTAATTTCTATTACATTCCATCAAATGTATAACTTCGATAAACCTAAACAGAATTATTTAGTTTTACCGTGTCATAATAGTGACTACTTAGATGAGGAAAAACGTGCATTTTGTTTTGTTTCAGGCACTGACATCATATTTTGTGTTTGTACGTAAACAATACAGTAGTAGGAAAAACATGCTGATACCGTTGAAATTCTTAAGTTATTCTAATAATTACTTATGCTTTATCATACTTTAAATCATTTCAATAGTGTCCAAAGTTACTAGGCAACAGAAACTGACGTCAACATCATACGATATGAATATGCTTTGAATTGATCGCAATCTGTATGCTGAAAGTATTCTTTTATTATGCGACTATTCAGTCTGTGTAGTCATTGTTGCGAATGATTTAAACAATTTCCTACCTTTTAAAAAGCAATATAAACTTGTTTTAAAATATAATGAATAGACGCGCAAATGCTACCCTTTCATTAAGCTTACTGTATACTGAACAGAAAATTTTTCTCTCGCTGGTTCAAGCATCTCACCAATAACTGGACGAGGAGTAATTTCACTTGTCACACTAAAACCTTCGAGTAAGCAAGGATCCTTTTGAAAGTAGAAAGAAAGTCGAAATATTATTCAGTGAGTTCAGTTTTATTAAATTAAGTAAGAAATATAATGTAATACAGTTTTTAGGACTAAACTAACCATTCAAAATATCCAGTACTGGTGCAGATCAGAGAAGTCACCACTCATTATCATCGACAAAACAGATCTATCACTTACAAGTGGATCATAATATCTTTTAATGGAGTTTCATCTCCTGTAGCGGATTGCTCGGTTGAGCTTTCATTATTCTTTTGAACAACATTATCAGCACAAACTTCATGTAGACTCTCTATCTAATCAAACTATCAAGCTCAGAGAACGAAAACCGCCAAAATCATCCACCTGGGCTAAAACCTATCACCATCTCAAGATCAGAATATTACACCGGGTCTTTAGAAGTTATAACGAAGGCATGTGATATCGCAGAACAGCACCCTTCCCTCTCTCCTGGTTGGCAGCGACACCAAATGTAGTGAATGAGGACATAATTGGGGACAATTGAATGTATTTGATTACAAAATTACAGAACATCTCAGTAAAATCTGTGAACCATACAGTAAATAGTTCATTTGCAACATGTCAATCAACCGTCTCAGACTTCAGTTTTCTTTAGTTTCTACACCAATAATTCTTTGTTCCCGTTCTCTTTTCTTTGATCTTCTTAACTTTCTGCCTCCAGGTATTTCACCTTCGACTGATGATACATACTACTTATATCTGTGAACATCGGTGGCACACACCACAATATAATTAGATATCAAACGAGAAACCATTTGGCAAATACTTCAGATATTCTCACTCCCCGGTGTTAAACAAACGGATACTGGCAAAGCAGACAGATAAAAAGTAAAAAGTGAATTCTTTAAAATGAGTGATTTGACCAATAGAGTGGCTGAATTCGATAGAGACTATTTAGCTGTAAAGACGGAAAATGAACTCTCTTAGTTTGGAATTGAATTTAAACTATATGTTTTGTGCAGGAGTTCGGGATACTAACTAGCCGCTAAAATGGATGTTAGAAGGGTGGCTTTCAAATCTGGTACATAGCAGTTAAAGGTCAAGGTTTTAACCCATTTGATAAGACATTCAGACGATAATTTTGTATCTATTCATCTATTGTATAGTTGTAATTAATTATTATGCATGGGATGATAGTCTGGCAAAATTCAGCAATTTTTTATTGCTGCATCGCTGTTATTTGACCTTAAAACCAATAGCTTGGGCATAAAAATACCCTAACATTTACAAACTAGATACATAGTATAATGTTCGATTAAACACAGGGATGATAATATAAATGAAATATCAGAAGATAATTTACATTATTAACTGGATTCAGCCCTATAACCGTAGAAAACCAAGAAGAACCAGACAAATTTAATCCTAGTATGGGGCTTCCGAATTTTGTACTCATAATATCGTTAGGAATATAACCAAGGGACTACAGATCGTACAATAAAGCAGATTAATAGACGTTACGAGCATGGATCACTAGATATCAACTTAGAGGTTTAAAAACGATGCATTAGACACTTAAGGAATCTATGTGGGATCGTGGTTGCGCACATCCGATGTAACACAAACCATAATAAAATAGATGTTCAGAACTTGTTGGTTTTAAAAATTGTCTAGTTGATGTCAGATTGTTATATAGACTATCTATCTTCGAATTGAACAATATGCATAAGTGTTGCATTATTAATAAGACGTTTTTCATGTTACGGTCAATAAAATATCTCTTGTAAAGTTTAAACAATTTGTTATATAAAGAACGTTTATTATCATTTCGGTTAACAGAAATAAGAGAAAATGATAAATAGTTGCTATTGAAATGTGTATTTTTTTTAAAGTTTATACTTTCTATATTGTTTTACTAAGTAGTATACTTTTCCCCCACACATAACTAACTAAATTACATTGACTCCTTTTTATACTTGTAGCTTTGGAAAGAATTAATAACACATGAAATATTAATAATTAGACAGTACTGGTCGTTTAGTCTGAATAAAATATATTTATTATGTGTTAAGTAATTAACTAAATTCAACAGCACGAGCCATTTAATACCAGCACGTTCGTATTGACGCATCTAAATAACCTTGTACAATGTGGTTAACCTTAAACCTTGTCGCCCATGTATTGCAACATCTATTACAAAAAAGTTCTGCTTCATTTTATATAATAAAATAATTATAATACACAACATATAAATAATATGTATGAACATCGTTATCTTTAATTTACTAGTGACTGTAAAATATGAATTAACCTAATGAGTCAAAATCAGCTATGAATTAAAAAAAACATTTAAAAAGTTCATTAATTAGAATATTACCCTGTTTCTAATAATTCGATAGGTGTATTTAGTTTTAACCACTTGATTTCCCAAATCACTCAGTTTACTGATATTTTCTCTGTAAAGGAAGCTGTCATCAGTAGGCTATTGGTATATTCCTACGAAAGATGAACTCATGAAATCAATTTATGAGCTTTATTAGGAAACGATAAAATTCAGCTCATTGTATATGACCAATATGATTGTTATAATGGTGTCAGGAATGTGCCAACAAAAGTATTCCGTATAATTTATTTAAACAAATTCAGTATTCATCAATGCAATTCACAATTCACATGTTTTGAACTGATGTCTTAGCCGAGTCTATATTCAAAGGGACCTGCAATATGCAGTGTATCTTGATTCATCGAACTTGGAGGAGACAGAAGAAATCACCTCAAAAATCAATAAATCTCTATCAAACATTAATTAGTTAAGAGCATTATCGAATTATAACTTGTTGGTATCTGTATTATAACAAAAAGTTAAAATCAATAGGTTGAAGATAAAGCACTTTGTAAGGTAGGTAATTTTTAAATTCAGATTTATGTAAATTAAATTTCGAAAATAGATTTTTAGTTTTCTGTCTAGAATATTGAAGAAATATTGTTGACAAAAAATACAGGGAATAAAAGAGTAACATTTTTTTTTTAAAAAAAATATTGAATTCGGAAAATCTGTAAAGAAAATCCTTTTACATCTGTTGTCATCTTTAGTTTGTATTAATGATTTTTAATGCTTATCACTTGTATAACAAAGATTAATTTGATTATTTTCATCAAATTTGTAACAGCTGGACAAAAAAAACAAACAAACGAATAGATAAAATAAATAAACAAATGAAACCTAATTTCCAATTGGATTGATTTTCATGTTTTAACTACTGATTATCTACATTCGTTATATGTACACACATATTGTATGTTACTTTCATAAGTAGAACTAGAAAATAGCTATTCAAACTAATCACTACTTTTATTTATTCAAGTGTCTATATGTGTGTTTTTTTTTTAGTGTTTTTAAATTGTATCTAACATCTAACAGGTTGAATAAATTGTATATTTCAAAATAACTGTATACAATTAACCGATAGGAATACAATATGATAAACAACACAGTAACATACAGACTGACGTAATCATGCATCCAAGGAAATTAGAGCCAAGAGGAATTAACAAGAATAATGTATGAAGACTAAAACACGAAATAGGAAGAAGAGAAAATAAGATGCGGTGAAAAATAAATATGTCTGTGAATTAGAACGTAGTACAACTTAATTTCGTCACGTTTATGGATATCAAGGTGTTACATTTGATGCCTCTTGGTAGTGGGAGAAAAGAACAAACACAACACAAATCATGGAAAACAATGGAATTTATCTGTTTTGAAACTTTTTATTGAATGCAAACAACCCAAATAATTATTTGCTGCTTACAGCTGATTAAAAGCCTCGAAATAAAGTGAAGTCGTTCCTTACTTGTCGTGTTTCAGATTATTAAGAAAAGTATACATAAGAGGTTAATTTTGGCTAAATTTTACGGCTTAATCATTTATGTTTTTGTTTGTAACCGCTGAATTACCTTGCTGCAAATCTTATTGTTTCTTATCCTGTTCAAAACCAAACCTTAAAATCGAAAAACTCTAGCCTAACTTGAAATCTATGTCACAACATTAACGAGTTTAGGATCAATTCCAACATTAAAAATTTTTTGGAAGTCTTTAGTTAACTCAGTCACCCTTGCATTTTTACGTGATTTTGTTATTATTCTGTTACCAACTAAAGATATTACATGTATGCTTAACGTTCGTGTTGTATTACATGAATAAATTTCGTGTCTTTTTGAATAAAACACGTTTATTTGAATACGTTACAAATAATATGTTTAATCTTACTGTTAAATAGATAAACTGTGAGCAAATGTTGCAACACTACAAAAGTATATGTAATTTCAATTGTGAATCAGGTGTTATGACTGATAGATTATTCGACATGGAACGTAAATGAGATGTATAACTTATAAAAGTTATTAATAATATTAGTTTGTGGGTGAACGAATATTTCTGGTATTCGACCATCCACATATATTCTGATTTTCGGATGGTCAGTACCTGACAGGAACAATTACCAAAACCTTTCATGTTAATGATTACCATGTACTCACTAGTATCGTGTCTCAAAAAAAGTTTTAATGAGATATCAAAACCGGTGGAGTTAATTCATGTTGAGTGGAGGCAGGTATCATCCATGGAAATGGATGATAGTCTTGGGATATCCCAAAATAACTCAAATCGGAAATGTGAACTATTAGTTGGCGAATAAATCGCCTTGTAGTGAGGTCAGGGTCACAGGCGGATATTACTACGTAGTTTGGAACGAGGACAAAATGGTTGAACAACGGTTATCTAGCGGCGACCAGTCCATAGTTTAACTACCTTCAAACTTTTAATTTGTTGGATTTTGAGAGGGAATAGGATTAATCACGAAATTATTCCTTCAACTACTCATTCTAAGCAGCCGTTCGAAGACTGACTAATCAAATATCGAAGTGGTACCTCAATACAGTAAAAGTTTGATACCTACATTTTGATACCTACATCTGTAAAGAAAACAACAGGCAAAATGAATATATATCCATTGCGAGCAGGTACAAAATATTTACAT